CAGTAACATTTGATCTCTTCAAATTTGCTGTTATTCCAATGTTGCAGTCTAAGGACACCCTGCAAAATTATGAGATTTAATGTTAAGAGAGAAACTGCCAAGACTTCGAGAATCAAAATAGTATATAATCTAACTTTGATGCTTTCCCCAGGATGATGACCTGGGAGAGATCGCAGCCCAGCAGTACTACGTTGACTACGGACCCAACATGGACTACAACAGGCTACAAGGTCTGGTGCCATCATACATCCCTGACTTCTGCATGAGAGGGCAGAAAAACACAGACTACTGGGCTCAACTGGTGGCTAATGCACACAGAAAGGTAGGAGATGACTGAATAAAGTAATTCTTTATACACAACCAAGTTTTTTATTCAGCTGACGTTTCGGTAACCGTCTGTCACCTCCCTCAGGGCAATTCTAAAGCTCCCAAATTGTGAAGTTGGACTCTGATGTAATTGACATTTCTGGAGAGGGCTAAATGTATTTAAATTTCATTTAATCTAAACTAATCAGCATAAATAATATTTAATTAACACCATCATTAAAAACAATGAGTCTGAGCCATTTTTCAAGTTTCATATCCTTCTATCTTTAATGTGACACAAGTGCAAATTACATCTTAATGTGTACGTTGAGCATCTAGTATATAATATACATTCAGGACACAGTGCGTATTATAATTATATTATAATTATGCCATGCATAATTATTGCCATACATTGTATCCATTGCAATTGTTGCGCAATAAAGATTGATTGATTGATATGATCTAAGTCTACAATATACAATGTACACTACATATAATTTTATACAGTATCTGCTTTTTTTAAGCTCCTCCAGCACAACACAACTGGGATACAATTTGTGTGTTACACAAGCTGCTAACTTACAGGACAGTTACTGTACATCAGTCCTCATTGTTATCACAGCCACAGTAAAATCATGAAATTCACAATGTACATGTACTTGCCATTCTTGCTCCTGATGCAGGGTGGACATCTGGCATTTTGCTTCCACACAAAGTTTGTTTTTGTGTTTGTGAAAAGGTTCTGAATCGTCAGCTTCATACAGTTTAGTCTATTTCCACAATTGTTGGCAGGACTACCTCTCTGCCTCTAGAAGGCTTGTAGGGTCCTGGCGTCCTGCGGTATGTATGGATTTGACGGTTTTTCACGGCAGACTGTTGATCTGGAGCCAGATGCAGTGTGTTTTGTCCCTCTGAAGGGCCTTCCTGACAGTTTCCCACTGCAGACTGATCATCTGGAGCCAGACGTGGTGTGTCTTGTCCCTCTGCTTGTGCAGGGCGTTCCTGTAGAGTTGGGATGTTTCCTGCTCCAGCCTGGTCTTCCTGTGGGTCCACACGGTTTCCCCGTATCACGGTGACAAGTGTCTGGTAGATGCTCATCAGTTTTTGCCAGATTGCCGTCCTTAAGTCCGGCATGCGGATGAGTGTTGCTATCGGGTTAATGAATGAGTTCAGACATATCCCCGCAAATACTCCATTCCTAGGGCAACTATCCGGGAGAACTTTGCAGACTGCAAAGAACAGGAGGGCTAACAGCCAGCAGACAAATGCCACCACTACATGAATCATCACAGTCCTTGCCTTGTGCACCCTTTCTTCATATTTTCTCTGAGCCTCCTCTTGTGCAGGATTTACTCCTGGTGCCTGGGGGCCCCCTGCAGCTGCCTGCTCAAGCCTTCTCCTCTCTCGTCGTCTGATTGCTACATACACGCTGATATTTGTGAACAGCATGCTGACGCACAGAAAGAGCAGTATGGATGTAGACGTGATGACAAAGGACAGGGGGTACCATGATATGCAGATCCCGGAGGTGAGGGTCTGAATGTGGAGACAGTTCCAACCCATCTTGGGTGAGAAGGCAAGCACTGTGCAAACAATCCATGAAATACTCAGACCTACAGCTGCGCGCAGTTTGGCACTGCCAGCGTGGTTGTGGAAGTATACAGGATACATCATAGCAACATAGGCATTAATAGACATTAGGGTTAGAGCTGATGCTGAGGTTATCTGACTAAATATGATTAAGCTGATATAAGTCAACTTGAAGTCATATGTTACATTGTGTTGGACATGGCCGACTGTGCGGTACAGAAGTCCGATGCCTGCGAACACATCTGTGACTGCCAGATTTGCCAGGTAGATGTAGATGGGCTTGTCACTGTGGAGTTGTCTTGTTCCAATGATTCCCAGGAGCACGACAGCATTTCCAATGATGATGAGAAGTCCCATCAGCCAGAAGACAACATCAGTCTCTGTTCCCAACCTCACAAGGTCCTTGTGCATGGAGCAGGCTTCATGGGCTTGTGCGAGGGACACATTATTGTTCTGGAGATGCCATTTATAGCAGGATACCAAACTTCTGAATTTGTCAGATGTCTCTGTGAGCATCCACGGATCGGAACTACCGGTATTGTTAAACATGTTGAAGTTCAAGATGTAGATATCTGTAGTCTCAGGCAGGGGATGGAGAGGTTCCCAAGCTGTGGACGGCTCTGCTGCACCGGCAGCTTGTTTGTCTGGACCAGAGACGGCTAGAGCAAAATGCAGGAGCAGATGGAAGGCAATAATGGCCCGCCACAGCAGCAGCTGACAATTTGCGGTGGAGGAGAGAGAGAGAACAAAATGCTGTGGCCACACCTTGCCGCGACAGGTCGACATCACGACTGCGCTTGCTCAGTGAGAATGCGTAGGCTGTTGCCACGGCAATGCAGGGAGTTGACGTGCGCAATATCGTGTCTTGAAAAGAGTTCACAGCTTCAAATTTTTTTGGGCTGCTTTGAATACTGCTGTCTTAATAAGCTTCAGTAGGAGGTTGTCTAATGATGCAAAGGTTTGATGCCAGTGGCTTCACAGTACTCAGATGGCAAAGCCCTTAGGGTCTCTCTGTCCCTTTGAATGTACTTGGTTAAATGCAATGTACTCCGATAGAAATTTCCTATGAAGTCACTGTATGCAGATGCTTTGAAAGTTTTAGTTGATTTGCCTTCATTAGCCCATACAGTTGCACATGTAACGTTTACCAAACGAACACGGCAGCTATTACAGAACCTTCTCAATCATCTCTCCCTTCTTTGAAATCCATAACAAATGCATTTTCAGAGGCCTTTATGACAGAGGGCATGTTTGGAATCTGAGTCATTTTACAATTAAAATGCCACGTTTTGCTGTGTCTGCTTATCAATTGTAGCAGCTATTACTGTAACAGTAATTAGAGACATATATTTGTGAAGTATAATTATTAAAGCCATTCCAGATTGAATACTGAATAATATTGAATATAACTGCGATCAGTTATTTCTTGAATTATAATTATTACTAATGTTTATAACTGATATCTAATTGAAGTCCAGTTATAATATACATGTATAATGATAGATTTGTAAGGCCTAGGAAAAAAATGTTGTGTTCTCTGTTTCCCGCCTGACCCTAGCAAATCCTGCCGACCCTACACTTTTTTGGGGGTGGACCTCTGCAAAGGACATGCATTTTTTCGAGCTGATAAACCATTTCTAGCTCCATGATCTGATATACATGTATATTCTGATTCATTGTACTGACCATAATTTTTTTCAGGACTGAGACAAGAAATACATTCAACAATTTTTTTCTAGTCCTAAAAGAATAAATCCCAAATTTATGCTTAATACAAAAAGTGTTAGCATGGATTACAGAAAACGGGTCATGAATTTAGTATCGGGAGAGATGTCACCTGAATTTTCTGTTTAGCAAAAACAACATAATCTGCAAATCAACCTTTCTTTCCCCAGAGCTACTATGTGAAGGACAACGTGGATCCAATCCGAGTCAAGGAAGACGTCGTCAGCTACGCCAAGTTCAAGTGGCCGCTGCTGTTCTCGCGGTTCTACGAGGCGTACAAGTTCTCCGGGCCGAGCCTGCCGAAGAACGACGTGATCATCGCGGTCAACTGGACGGGCGTGTACATCGTGGACGATCAGGAGCAGGTCCTGCTGGAGCTGTCCTTCCCAGAAATCACTGCTGTATCCAGCAGCAGGTCAGTACTACAGTTACAGTTTATTCAATCAACAAAATCATACAAAAGCAGGGAATGCTGCATGCATCCCTGAATTGTGTAATTGATTTTTACAATAAGTTAAAAAACAAGGCAGGACAGGTACACAGAAAAGCACACTATATACAAATATGTACAAACACCATTCACTCTGCTATATGCATGCAAATAGCGGGCATAGGTTTTCAAATACATGTATCAGCCTTAATACTGGGTAGTTAGTGATGGAGTTCAGCTTCTGATTAGGATTTATATTTGATTGCTTATACTGTAAATCACGATTTTTGTTCCATGGTTTATATATGTGGTTTTTGCAGCAGCTTCTGTCCTGCAAACTTATCATTACAACAAATAATTTGCCGACTTTCTTCCCGCAGACATGCCCATTTTTCTCAGACCACGATTTTTGCTACCGTGAATATAAAATGATTTACAGTATTCTGCATTACAAATTTAGTGTTGTTTGATTGTACAATGTATGATGGAAAAGGGTAATAAAAGGAGGAGACAAACCTGTATGTACTTAAAGGGCCTTTGAAACTTATGACAATCCCATCTGAGAAAACGTCCTTTACTAAAGCACTTTAAGGCACTCATTTCACCTGACTCAAGTGTAAAGTGCCTTTCTTGATTAGGCATAACACTTAGGCATGCTAGGGATTTGAACCCAGAACCTTTAGATTCTAAATCATCAACCCTAACCACAACACCACCTTGCCTCCTTCCCCCCAGGACTGGTAAGATCCATGGTCAGAGCTTCACCCTGTCCACAGTGAAGGGAGATGAGTACACCTTCACCTCTGCCAACGCTGAGGACATCAGGGAGCTGGTGGTCTGCTTCCTGGAGGGACTCAAGAAGAAGTCCAAATATGTCATCGCCCTGCAGGACAGTCCCACACCAGGTGGGAGGGCTTAGAAACCAACCATTCATACATTCATTCATTCACTTATTCATTCACTCACTCACTCACTCATCCATTCACTCATTCATTCATTCACTCATTCATTTATTCATTCATTCATTCATTCACTCACCCATTCATTTATTCATTCATTTCATATACTTACCCAACTATGTAGAAGTTCTATAGTTGTTTGGTGAAAGTGGCAAATTAAAGATAGAACTGACACCTTTGATAGACCTAAATATTCATAGGAGCAGGACCCACAAAGTCAACGTATCAGGCATTGAAAAGCTGTGAAGGCTAAGAAGACAAGAACTTTCTTCAACTGTGTCAGAGCCCAAAAATACTTAAATCGTTCCAATAGGTACAACCAAAATGGGCCTAAAGCTTACTATATACATCAGCTTGGTCCATAAGTGGCTTGAAAGTAAAGGTACCATTTATGTTCTTGTACAGATATGGGCATGCAGGAGTAGACATGTGGGAAACAAAGCGTTCCACCAGCTTATGTCCCACCATGCTAAAGAAATCATTAAAGCCCTTTACAATATCAGGTAGATTCTGTCACGCATGACAGAGCACAATTCATCGCCGTGACCCGTGTCCTCTTCAGTTACCATCTTAAGGGTTAAAAATAGGGCTACCACGATAATTATAATTCCCTTCTGGTTTCCAGAGGAGAACCAAGCCATTCCAAAACATGGTTCTTAAGTCACTGTGGCAATTTTGATCACCAAGAAATTAGACTGGCAAGGACTAGTTTACAGGTACAGGTACATGTGAGTTATTGTAACGTGCGTTACAGAGCTACACAGTCCTGACCAACATGGTGGTGTTCAGTGACTTAGATTATTTTCAGAGCAAAGGTGACAGATACATGCCCGACGATTGTCCACTGAGAACAAATTTGAATGACAAGACGACAAATACTGTCCACAGATCCAGCATCACAGACCAGAAACCTTGCCTTCTCTTCTCAAGCGTGGTTATAAAACTAGTCCTTCGGGATACAAAAAAGAAAATTGCCGGTTGACGTCAGACACACACCAGGTAGCCAATTCAAAACATAAGACGTAACCTGCTAAGAATAGCCTGTTGTGTTTTGTAAACCCTAAATATATCAGGTGACTCATCAAGCATGTGTGTGTTAGTTAAACACAGCTATTGTGATGTAGGGTCTTGAAATCCTGGTATTTGCAGGGCATAAGCGAACATTAATTTCAATCCCTTTCCTTAGCTGCGGACAGCTCGTCCTTCCTGGCCTTTAAGAAGGGCGACCTGATTGTTCTGGACCAGGACAGCGGTGACACAGTCATGAACTCAGGCTGGTGTTACGGACAGAACGACAGGACGGGGCAGCGCGGGGACTTCCCCGCCGAGTGTGTGTACGTGGTGCCGACAGTCACCAAACCTGCACCAGACATTCTGGTGAGTGGACAAATATCTAATACTATACAATGTATTTTGCCATTTTATTGCTTTTGTTTGTGAATGCTATATGATGTACAAGTCCAGGTCTGCCCAACTAGCCATATAGGATTATCATAATTTTAAAAAGCTAAGGGCTACTAAGGCCTTCTGACAATCAATACAGAACCTAGCATTTGAACATGACACAATGTAAGTAAGTACATAACTGAAGCATTGGTACTTATTTTCACCTGAGTGGAGTGAGGAAATACTATATTGGGTAAAACATGCCTTTCCAAACAGCACAATATAGGAGCCTGACAGGGATTCGAACCCAGAACCTTCATATTCGCCTTGTAATTAAGTCAGCCTTCATTACCACAAGACCACCTTCTCTACCGATTTTTTATGGTTCAATTTTAATATCTCCCTCAGCAACTGTTCACCATGTCAGAGAAGGAGATCAGTGAACTGCGCACGTCTCAGGCAGCCATCGAGACAGAAGAACCACCCGAGAAGCCATACACACTGGAGGAGTTCTCCATCGACCACTTCAGGTACAGCTACACTCCTTAAATCCAGTTTCTTTCTCTATCCAGTTTAACGTCTTTTTTACCTGAAACTGGGGGTTAGAATGGTTTGAAAATAGTGCAAGTCTTTTTGAAGCAAGATTTTTTTTACGGCTGGACAACAATGAATTTTCCCTGTTTGGTACAGACCTCCCCCCAAGCGTACCCTGACAACAATGAATTTTCCCTGTTTGGTACAGACCTCCCCCCAAGCGTACCCTGACAATAATGAATTTTCCCTGTTTGGTACATACCGCTCCCCAAGCGTACCCTGACAACAATGAATTTTCCCTGTTTGGTACAGACCACCCCCCAAGCGTACCCTGACAACAATGAATTTTCCCTGTTTGGTACAGACCGCTCCCCAAGCGTACCCTGACAACAATGAATTTTCCCTGTTTGTTACAGACCGCCGCCCAAGCGTACCCTGACAACAATGAATTTTCCCTGTTTGTTACAGACCGCCCCCCAAGCGTACCCTGACGCGTGCGCTGAAGAGCAGACAGAAGGACGAGCTGTGGAGCTACACCAAGGAACCCATCAAACAGCCGCTGCTCAAGAGGCTGCTGCCCAACGATGAGCTCAGCCAGGAGGCCACCATGTGCTTCATGTATATCCTTACAGAACTGTTAAGGCCTGTGTTTTTAAGTGGTGTGTTCAGCATGCAAAGGAAAATACATTGTAATACACTGTGGTGCCATACTCAAATGATTTGCATTATATTTGTGGCACCATGGAACATTGATGTGCAAGAAAATGATGTAACAACAAGAAAGAGAACACTTGATGCAGAAAACGTAATACTATGTTTATTACACTATTATATATAAATGGTTCAGTCAAACTCACTCACTGGGTCGAGCTTCCCTCGGTGCCAATGACAGCTCTCCATCTCTTCCTATCCTTCATTACTACCATCAGGTTTTTCCTGTCGAGCTGGGTGTCGTCCATTACTTGGTTTATGTAGTTTCTTGCTGGACAGTCAGACAGTCACTCCTATTGTTCCTGAAAAGCTGCTAACAGGTGCAGAGCATAGAATCTGCAGTTTTGCCATGACATACTAGGGGGCATTGTTGGGAAGATGTCGGTGTATAATTTGAAAGTAAGGGGCCCACCCAAGAAAATTTGAATGAAATATAAATTGCATTTATGTTTTGATATGAAAAAGCTTTTCCTAATGGCCTTTGTAAATTTTGATTTAAGCAATATAAAAGCGTTCATTACAAGTGAAGATACAAAATGTATTTGAAATTAGCATTGTGTCTTGGAATGTTGATTGTATCCTTAACGCTGATCACCCATTATGAAGTACATGGGAGATTACCCCTCCAAGAGAAGTCGGCATGGCAACGAACTGACGGACCAGATATTTGAACCTCCTCTCAAGAATGTAAGAAACATTTAAGTCTCACATTGTAGTTAATATGCAATTGTAGTATGTAGTAAATAATGACAGCTATTTAAAGTTTCCCTTTGAACAATGCAAGCTGTCGTATTTTACTATAACTGTAGCTACAACTGATTGTTGTCTTTTTTCCTACTATTGCACAGTATCCAGCCTTTTAGGTTTCATGATTGTCATTTCCTGTGTTACAGTATGACGCATTAAATTTAGTAGTACTCATACACATATATTATAGCAAACCAGCTGGCCAGATTGGCGGAAGACTGACAGAGGTGGAACTACGGGACTGAGGATGATAATGATGATGAAGTGTATCAATCACTAATTTTAAAAGTAGTCCGAGGTAGGAAAGTTATTGCAAAATTTTACGTTCGCTTTTTTTCTTGACCAGGAAACATTGAGAGACGAGATCTACTGCCAGGTGATCAAACAGCTGACAGAGAACCGTGTGCGTGCGAGCGAGGAGCGCGGCTGGGAGCTGATGTGGCTGTGTTCCGGCTGCTTCGCCTGCAGTCAGTCCCTCCTGCCGCACGTCACGCAGTTCCTACGCACCCGCAGGAGGAACGCGCTGGCCGTGGACTGCCTGCAGAGGCTGCAGAAGACGCTCCGGTGGGTGCAACCACAAACTTTATTATCTCTAAGTTTAGTATATAGTAGAGTGAATTCATTCATCGGTTAACCGACATCTAGCATATTGCAGTCGTCCGTCAGTAAGATATCTAGAGCTTCATAGTTCCAATCACATTTTAGATTGGTTTTACAGTCCTTTCCATACCTTTTGGTAAAGAAGGGGGCACCTACATCTATCTCCATTTCTATAGCCCATAGGCCACACTGTTGTACAAGCACTACATCACGGGGCTGGTAGTGGTGCATGTTCAACTATAACCATACTCTTTCCTCCTTAATCAAAAGATTGCTAATCATGAAAAGCAGTATGTACCATATTTTGTACATGTATCACTCAAGGGGGTGACTACTGTAGTTTGTGAAAATCAAGAATACCTCTGTCATCTCAATGTGCCTTCTTACGTGCCTGTGTCTGACTTGTCCTGATGTTGTGTGTAGGAATGGACAGAGGAAGTACCCTCCCCACCTGGTAGAAGTGGAGGCCATCCAGCACAAAACAACTCAGATCTTCCACAAGGTCTACTTCCCAGACGACAGCGATGAGGTAGGCTATAATAACAATTAGCAGCTTTAATGCTTGATGTATCCCTCTCTTTTGAAAAATACAATTACCTACATGTATATCAAGTAGTCATCCTGAACTGAAGTCAACTGAAGTGATGCTCAATGGCTGAGTCTTAAGCAAAGAAGCAGTATGTACCAATTCTAAAGTCTGATATGACTTGGTTGGAAAATCGAACCCACGACCTGCCACATGTCTCCCCAAATAAGACTGTTCTACCCATCAGACCCTCTGCTGTACAGGCTTTAGTGAATAAGTAGATGCATGATTCGAAGACAGTGTCATCACCTGTGTTTCCTGACTCCATGTTGTGCAGGCTTTTGAGGTGGACTCAGGTACGAGGGCGAAGGACTTCTGTGAAAACATCGCCAGCAGGCTGAGGCTCAAGTCGCCTGAGGGATTCAGCTTGTTTGTGAAGATTGCAGACAAAGGTAAGACTGATTGTGCGGTACTTCTGGTCATCATTTTGTGCACCAGCAGGAACATTTTTAGAAAATGATATTAATCAATTTGACAAAGTATAAAGTTCAAATTTTGTATTCTTAACTGATAAAGTTGTAGGGAAAAAGTACAACTGATTATGTTATGGTCTATGTTAGATGTAAATCTTTTCTTCTTTTTCATTATTTCAGTCATCAGTGTTCCAGAGGGAGACTTTTTCTTTGACTTTGTGCGGCATCTGACAGACTGGATTAGGAAAGCACGACCCACCAAAGATGGTAATATTTTTGGAGACCCCTTTACAATGTACATATTTCTACCTCAATGATCTTGAATTATCAGAGAACAGTTTTTTGTCTCTTTGCAAGGAGAACCTCTGTGCCTAGATTCTCACGTCAACAATTTTTAAATCTATTATTCAGTGTGTAGTGCTCTTTTTTTCTTTAATGTCTTGTAAAGAAAAGTTTTTCAGTCTCCATGTATGGTTTTTCTTCATAACATGTATCACATGCTTTCATTCTCTAGGTTCTATGCCCCAGCTGACCTACCAAGTGTTCTTTATGAAGAAACTGTGGACCAACACAGTCCCAGGGAAGGACCCCAACGCAGACTCCATATTCCACTACCACCAGGAGCTACCCAAGCTGCTGCGAGGCTACCACAAGTGTTCCAAGGACGAAGCCATCAGCCTGGCCGCTTTGCAGTACCGTGTACGCTTCGGGGACGACAAGTCCGAGTTTATCAACATCCCGTATGTGAAATGTTTCTTTACCAGTCTGTCCTACACCTATGCTACCCATTTAACCTTCTGTTCACTGATGTAGCCATTTGTTTATCAATTCTTTATTGGTTATGGGGTTAGGCTGTAGGGGGAATGTTAAAACTTGTATATTGAAGGTACATGTACTTTTTGTACTATAATGATGAAACAGCTGACAGTGTGCAGTATACTTTCAAGACTGTTTATATCAAGGATACATGAAGCAACAGTAAGATGTCAATTTTTTCACAACCATGTTAGGTCCCATCTTGCAAACCAGTCTTGTTCAATTTTAACAGTTTCATGTACATATACAGCTGTGAGTTTTCAGTTGTGAAATGGCAGAAATGCTTTGCTGTGTCTAAATCAAGCATATACATGTATGAAGTCATTTTGGCCACACCTCAGGGGTGTAGCCTCTCTGATCCTGTAAAATGTTGCTGTTGTAGGAAGATGCTGAGAGAACTGGCCCCCCAGGACTTGTTAAGGAGCATGTCCCCTGATGACTGGAAAAGGGTGGGTGGAAACATCATTTTCTGAACTTCTCTAGAACAAGTCACATGAAAAAGCTGTTGATTTTGTTCACATTAGAGTTGTAGCCATTTGAAGGACTTGTGTCACATTCTTAGTCTGTACTGTAATGTTATTAACAGAGTCTTCTGATGAATCAGGGATATTTTTACCGATGAATCAGTGAAATTGTCATGCTGTTGAGTGAGTGAGTGAGTGAGTGAGTGAGTGAGAGAGTGAGTGAGTGAGTGAGTGAGTGAGTGAGTGAGTGAGTGAGTGAGTGAGTGAGTGAGTGAGTGAGTGAGTGAGTGAGTGAGTGAGTGAGTGAGTGAGTGAGTGAGTGAGTGAGAGTGAGTGAGTGAGTGAGTGAGTGTGTACCCATGTATCACATCTATTGTCTTTAGTTCAACTTTACCGGCATATAATCAATCAGTATCTGAAAGCTTCAAAGATTGAGAGGTTGTTGTCTTGGAGGTTGAGAGTTTGTTGTATTGTGGTTTCCAGCAAATCGTTGCTGCCTACAACAAGCATGCAGGCAAGTCCAGGGAAGACGCCAAGCTGTCCTTCCTGAAGATCATCTACAGGTGGTCCACTTTTGGCTCCGCCTTCTTCGAGGTCAAGGTAAATGTCATCTCATTATTCACACACATTGTAGAGTGACATTTTATGCCATATTTACATTGTACCCACCTAGTGCACTTGAATATTCAATAGAATGATGTAATGCTGAAAGCACAAGTTGATGATAACCTGTGCCCTTTGGAAAGGCACTTCACATATCTTACTCAGGAAAAAATGTGGAGCTAGCTTCGGTTAGGAACGTTCTCCGTGATAGGACGTAAAACCTGAGGCCATTCGTTTCAGGAAAGCCACATCTCAAGCACATATAAAAGATCATGCCGTATCAAAATATTAAGGATCTATCCTGTTGTGAGCAGATCAAACTTAACACTAAATTAGTCTGGTCTTAGGCAGCTTGTACTAATATACTTTACAATACATAAACTCTTAAGGTAATTTATTGGCTGTGCTTTGAGCCTTTGACCATTGTTTCACCCATGTCCCCCAACAGCAAACTACAGAACCCAACTACCCAGAGATCCTTCTGATCGCCATTAACAAACACGGGGTCAGCCTGATTGACCCTAAGACGAAGGAAAGCCTGGTGACACACCCTTCACCAAGATCTCCAACTGGAGCAGCGGCAACACGTACTTCCACATGACCATCGGAAACCTGGTGCGGGGCAGCAAGCTGTTGTGTGAGACTTCACTGGTCAGTGTCTGTTTATTGGTTTATTTGTGGGGTCGTGTGGCGTAATGGTAGAGTGTTCGGCTCAGGACAACGATCTTGTGCCCTTGGGAAAGGCACTTTAAACGACTTTCCTCACTTCACTCAGGTGTAAATGAGTACCTAGCTTTGGTTAGGGACGTCCCTAGGATAGGATGTTAAATGGAGGTCCTGTGTTTGGGAGAGCCACACCCCACGCACATTAAAGAACCCACCGCACTTATAAAAAAGAGTAGGGGACCTTCTTACGCAGCTTGTACTTTTATGTACAAAACTGGTGTGTGATTTATGACAGTGAATGTAAGGAAAGAAGCATAATGATTGTGTTTTGTACAAAATAAATAACCAACACATCTGATCTCTCAAACAGGGTTACAAGATGGATGACCTTTTGACCTCTTACATCAGCCTGATGCTCACCACCATGAACAGACAGCGCAGGGACAGCAGAAGGTGAAAGGTTAAAGTTCAAAGAGCACCTTTAAATTTACAGTACAGTCCAAAGTGTAGCAGACATTAGACCTCTTCATTTATCACAGTAGCAGACTGAGAGGAGGCAAGCAGATGCCCCTGTTCTTGGAATCAATCTAGACCAAAGTTAATGTTTCTTGTCAGCCTATCTTCACCATAGCTTTGGGTGACTTCAACAAATCCTTCATCACAGCAAATACTGTCAAATATATCTTTTTGATTTCATAAATGGTTTTGTAAACATTGTGTTTAAGATTGAACTTACACTATTCTTCCTCATATTTGAATGGTTTTATGGAAAGATAACTTCTTTGATCAGCAGTCTAAATCAATATCTAATAGAATTTATTTTACCCGATTATTTCTTGGCTTTCCTGTACTATAGAATGGATTGTCCGTACTATTTGTATAGTGTTATACTAGATTGTTGTTTGTGAGTTGATAATGGACATGATTGTCAAATGCAGTGCTTTTAATTTTCTCCATTGAAAAAGACCTACCAGTTGAATGAATGGTCAGGAAGAGATCTGTATATTTTGAGCTTTGAAATGTTCTTGATTCACATACCGGTATTCCTGTTTCTAAGTGGATAATACAAGATACTAAACAACACCATCTATTCAGTGTTACCTTCTTAACTTTATCATGTTGTCATTTTGAAATCAGTCTCTTCTGTCACACTGTTATGACTTAAGGGATTTTCATCTTTTGGGAAAGGTGTAATATTTCAGTGATTACAAAATATTCCATAAGTTCTTAAATACCATCTCACCACTTTACAAAGTACTGAATTAAAACAGTCTTGGCAAGACTGAGACCTTGTTGGACAATAAATGAAAAATACTTCCTTCTGCACTGTTCTTTTAGTGTTAAGAAACCAACTTACAAAATGTATGATGATACCTTCCACTATACACTACCTATGCAACCTTACATACAATGTCAAGTGGCTAAAAACTATGAAAGTACAAGTACAAGTGTAACAATCTTTATCTGGGGAATGATGATTAACAACTTACGATAATAAGGTCTATTTGTAAAAGCTTTGCTGGATAAGAAATTATGTTCAGCATGTAAGCAGTCCCAACTACCAGGCAGGTTTTTAAGCGATAAATTGCTGGTGTAAACTATGTGAAAATTTGTGGTGTAATGATTTTTTTGATCATAGTAAAAATCAAGCAAGACTGTAATTTTTTCCATGCACATGTAGGAAGAACTAGAGGCAGGTATGGATTCATGTGAAGAAATACATAATGTGCATAAAATATAACATTGTTATTATTAATATTAAAGCGTTGATGACAAAAGTAGCTGCTATTGATACTATTTTCACAATGTATAGTTTTAGGCGCACCTAATTAATTTACCGATAGCTTTTCCAATTCAAAGAATACATTAATTTTGATTATAATGTCTATTTAAGAAATAGGTTTAGATAACTTAGTAAGGTGCTATTTCTATATCTGCAGTTTTGAATTTGATATAGAAAAAAGATGATAGTACAGAACATACAATAGTGTGTTGAACATAGTACATGTATCTTGTCTGATTTGGTGGTGTTTCTTGTATCTATATAAAGTATGAAAAGTTCAATGTACTTCATGTTTTGTCTTAATCTACACAGAAAAGTATGGAAAAGTAGAACGTCAATGCCCAAATAGACAGGTAATATGCCAAACCGTACTCATCTAGTGGACCAACTCCCCTGCTATGTTATATGTCTATTTGGCCAATTTCTACTCATTCCAGTTGCTCCCTAAAGCCTGGTAGAGGCTACACACAAGGTACCAAAAAAATGTAATTTCATTTATGTGTGCAGACAACTGTATGTTACTGTTGCTTGGAACATGAAGGCAAGCAATGATCATAAAATCAACCTAAATTACCCATGTTTGCTTTCTAGTAGCATAGGAAAACTCTGCTGTTAATGAAGAATACATGTAAGTGGGTGTAAAATCTGATATAAATTGTAACTTAAGCTACATGTATGGTACTTACTGTAGTAATAAATTGACTATCCTTACATTGATTCGAGCGACGCATGTATGCTTAGTTGTCCTGGGTACATTTCTGTTGAGTCGACACACAGGTCTCAATAAATACTGCATCATGGAGATCAAGTTCTGATTCTTTTGTATGATACTTTTATTAGTCCCCACAAGGAAAAATCCTTGGTCCCCACCATGAAAAACTTATTTTTGTGAGATCTCTAGTGTAGCACCCCAAGGTATGCATAGTTTAGATGTTTACTGAGGGATGTGGCATTGCAGATGCCTCTAGTTGCATTTGTTTGCGGATTTTTGACCTAGCCGAACTATATCAGTATGCATAGAAGACTATTGGTTTAGCCGACGCTGGAACTCGGAGCGTTTCTTCCAGTCCCGCCCTGACAAGTCCGGACCGGACCACTTTTTCCACCAACCCGTCTAGGAAAAACTTGTAGTTCTCTGAAAGCCCCTTGTGGTATTCTTCTCACATAGATTAACCTGATTGAATCTCATTGGTTCTACCTGTAGATATATATCCCACATTACAAACCTAGGCTCTTTTGCTACTTTTTTCTGATTTAGTGCGTAATCCATAAAAAAAATAGTTTATTAAATAGGTGATGTTTGTGCTTGTGTGATTGCTACCGTGCCCCGAGTGATGCAAATTCCAAAGTTTCGTCTGAAGTACAGCTCTGAGAACAATGGAATTCAAACAGTACATTAAGCTGTTTGGAAATTAAAGGTGTCTGGTTGGTATTTGCCAATGGTAATGTTTTAGCAGCATCCATTAGCAGCCACTCCGCTACGGACATGGCGTCGAATAGCAAGGTCAGCGGACAAGAGAGGCTAAAACAGCACTTTATACACGACTTTCCTCACTAAGTGCGTTTTCCCCTCCGCACTACTTTCTCTTGCGGAGAAATCGATTCACCGCTGCCTCACTTGCTACAAACATATTTGTATTGCTCCCCATGGCACTGTGACAGCCCTCTGGATTGAATGACTCACAACATGCTGCATGTACTATCGTCAACATGAAGCGCAGCAAATGCCTTCTGCTTGTATCGGTGACGCTCAATGTTCTGTTTATCTTCAAAGAGTTATTTTTCCTGCCGGTCAGCAAGGAACTAACTGAGACCAAGGAGTTGAACTGCCTTGTTGAGAGACCCCCGGACAAATCAACTGCATGTCTCAACAGGTGAGATACTGCATTCTATAGCGATGTTTTCGTTTTACATGGCAAGGTTCGTGGCATAGATGGTGCTAGATTTAAAAAAAAAATCTGCCACAACACGAGGTGCTTTTCTCACCTCACCTCACCTATCCCTTGCTTATCTGTATGACTTAAGCAATGTGAACAACGAATAGTTAGCCCCAAAGAAAGGTGACAGATGGTCACCGAAACGTTGGATTTGGATGAATACACTTGGCTGTGTAAACAGAGTCTCTTGATTCAGTGATTTACCAACCTGATAAAACTACACGGAAATACGACTTTAAATTTCCTTATTTTGAAGCAAGGCGCGACACATACCGTTTTTTTTTGGTCTGCTTGCCGCCAAGACACTTTTGATACATGTTTAAGTGTTCTCTGTTTTTCTGTTTCTGGACTACTTGTCACGCCAATGTCTATATCTAACAAGTTGAGGAAATGGCGCCAATACTGAATTCACCTGCTTCGTTCAAGATGTTGATGGCAAGCGTGTACTAGTAGTTTTTACAAACTAAGGTAACGTTATGGCGACTCTTGGTGGGCGTACCAACAATATTAACTTAAATGTTGTTTTCTTTCTGTATACAAACAAGCTTCTAACGTATACAATCATACAGCGTGTTTGGTGTGAGATACTAGTAGGATGTCGTGTAGTAGTGGTGTTGGGAACATTTTAGGTTTCGTCCACATTTCGACGTCTAACTACTCGTAACAGTTGTCTGTATAGTACAAAGTGTGAGGCCTCGGATGACCTTTCAACACAAACAAAAAGCTCGGCTTACGAATACCGAAGTCCTGTCTTTCTGTCAACAAAATAATCAAAGGGCTGGATGTAAGTAAAGTAAGTTAATAATTGAAACAAAATTCCTACCGTACGCACCTCCTTGTTTTCCACCTGTGCAAGGGGTACATTGTGTGCGAGTACAGTGTACATAGCTACCGGGTCCAGTTTGTTCTTCGTCCTTCCGAAAAAGGCCACCTGTATGTTCTGAATCAGTGTGTTTACCACTTAAGTACGATCTGATGATATGACTGTTTAAAGGTTTTTCCAATGCTTCAAGGATTGCGGAGCAAAATCTTGAGGAAACCACAGACAACCCGGTTTCAAAACTTGGAGCAACCGTCGCACCTGTGTGGGTTTACAACAGCACGGCTGCCGACAAGTTCAGGTTTGTCAACATTGGTCATGATTGATTATTACCACTGATTTTTTAGTGTTTGTCTGTCTGTTTGTTTGTTTTGTTTATTGCTCGTTTGTTCGCAGTTATTTGAAAACATCAAAGTCCAAGAAAGTGAGGGGGAAATGATGTAACCACAGACTGACAGGAAGGTTGAATTGGGGGTAAAACCGGTCTCCCAACAGACTGAAAGGAGGTGAATGGTATAGTTGAGTAACTCATGAGGATTGCATGTCCCCGGATCCGACAGTGCAATAAGCACAGAATCAGCGAGAAATTCACAACACTTAATACTTTGAAACATTCGATTTATTTTTGGTCATTTTCGATGTCAATCTTTAGTGGACGAATGCATCATAACTATAAGTTCTTCATTTGAACGAAGATTACAACCTGACATTACAGGAGCAAACTTGAAACGTGCTGCAAAGGAAGTGACGATCTGCTGGTGACCCGGTACAACACACGCGTCAGTACCACCATTCAGTACGACGCTGAGAGGAAATCCCAGCTGAAGGTCACCCCTGAGATATGGAGAAAATTTCCGCAGGTAAAATGTTTGAAGATTTCTCTTTTCATTTCTTTTTATTGCCCAGCATTGTATAGAAGGCAAAGCACTGGTGTGATCAATACCACAAGCTTATGACTTTTCCATACAGCCCTACGCATGCAGAACCTTTCTTGACAACGCTTGATTTCTTCTTATAAAGTAGCCATGAAGACGCAAAGTGTTACTACTGATATCTATTGTAACTAAAAATCGCTCTCTCAACGCCCGAAACAACCAAGCACGAAAGTAGAAAGGGCTTGCTACTTAATTTACACGATCGGAAACCTTTCTTCTAATTTTCTAGAAAACGCCTTTCTCGTACAAGAAATACGCCAGCTGTAGTGTGGTCGGCAACGGCGGCTTGTTGAAAGGCAGTGGATGTGGTAAAGACATCGACTCTGCCGAGTTTGTGTTCAGGTAAGAATAAATCCGAACAGGAGAGATCTCGCCATATCATACTGTGTGAGATAACATTCTATTTTTGCTTTCATATAAACGTCGAACGTCAAGGTACAACCATGTCTGTCCAAAGTAGCTAGCAAGGATTGGTTTTGCTACGTTTTCTCTTCTTCTCCAAACCAGAAAGGTCAATGACCTGAACCAGACGTCTTTTGCCATGGTAACTAGTGTTGGGTTACATCATGTTGCAATTTTATAGCAGGAGGGATTTAGACTCTTGTCTGACCATATATATATGAATGTGTTTGAGTAAGAATTAACAGAGTAAACCATATGCGAATGTAAACATTATGCAATTGCTTTGAAAATGTTACCTTTCTAGCATCCATTTTTATTTTATCTTGAACATATTCTGCTTGACTTATACAGATGCAACATGGCGCCGATAGATGAACGATTTGTTGCAGACGTTGGGAACAAAACAGATTTTATTACCATAAATCCCTCTATTGTGAGTAAAAGGTGAGTTCTTCCATCTTCAGTTTCCTACTTTCTCCATGTTTGGTGTCTTATTAGATTCATAATACATTTCACTAGTACATTTCCCACATATATTTCACGGAGTTATTACTCTCCAAGCAGATACTACGGTAGGTGGCAAGGCAGCATCCATTGGCGTAACTCCTTGCGTTTTGACCAATGAATACTAGTACAACATTACTCGTACCACTGTATTACCTGCTTTGTAACTTATACTCCTTACTACCTCAGATATAGTCTACTAAAGACCACCGCCATGAAGGACAAATTTGTGAAGGATGTATCCCCTTACGGAAGTGCCTATGTCTGGATGCCTGCTTTCTCCTTCAGAATGTGCACATCTCGCAGCTTCGCGGTTCAGACTACCCTACAAGAATATAACTCCTCACTACATGTGGTTTTCGCCAACCCGAATTTCATGCTGGCCATGAATGAATACTGGAAAAGCAATGGGGTGAAAGCAAGGAGGATATCTACAGGTAGGATATCTAGATATGTTAGATACACACATCAGAACGCCACTGTAATATTACATGTACTGTGAGTTCATTTACGTTCGTTGGGACGTTAATTTCGCAGTACAGGCGTTAGCTGTGTTCGTGGAAGGGTTTACTTTGAAAGCAACGGCAGACTTTACAATCATTATGGTACATGTAGTCAACCTTCGTAGTTACCGCCGAAAATGGGGGACCGGTGGTAACTACGGAGGTTGGCACCCAGGGCATGCAAAAAAAGGTCTGATAATTTCATTTACGTTGTCAAGTTGTTGGCATTTGTAAAATACAACTTTTCGTGCAGTCATTAATATTCTGGTCCATTATATTTCAGGCCTGTTCCTAGCCAGCGCTGCCCTGTCCATCTGTGCTGAGGTTCACCTGTACGGATTCTGGCCCTTCCACGTGAACAAGCACAACGTCACGCTGACGGAACATTACTACGATGACATCCCTCCTCGCAAAGTGCACAATATTCCCGAGGAGTTTGCAAAACTACGACAGCTTCACCGCGAGGGAATCTTACAACTGAGAACAGACTCCTGTAGCTGATCGTGTCACCTGATATTCAGTGGTGATGAAGGTTGTAAAAAATAACTACACACACAGAACAGTTTATCACATGATAAACAATAAATAATCTACATGTTGTCCTTTCATCGTAAGAAAGGATATAGGTCTAAACCTATGCACTTGTTATAACATTTTATGGTCAGTTGAGACAGGTAAAAAGCCAAAGCTGTCATCGAAAAGTGGATAAGGCCTCCAAGCAGATGACGATGAAAGCTCGTAATGTTTTATGAGTGACAACCGGGCTTCTATGATAGTCCTTGCCCCTGTAAACAGATAAAAAGTTAACGGCCAAAGTTCTTAGGGAAAACGGATGGTGTCCACATTTTATATAAGCGTCAAGGTACATGAGTTGGTTATCATGTACAAGATGATAATGTATACAGTACATCATCATCTTGTACATGATGATGTATACAGTACAAGAATGTTAGAAAAAATCAATACAGTCTGTATTCAATATCAAGATTTGACTCAATTGCAATACATCCTTTACATTGATGATACGTCTAGACTACAAACATTGTAAAGAAACAACTAACTGATAACTGAATACATCAGTTTGTCCTGTTTGAGGTGATGACAATAAAAACATAACAGTGTTTATATCTATACAATTAAATACATAAAACTAACGAGGAATGATTGTGATGATGATAATTATGACATAAAAGGTATGAGAAGTGGCGTTGGACTATGTCATCGCAGCATTTCTTACGATAATATAGCAGTGAGGCCAGATACTACTAGTAGTACTCATCAATTTCCGAAAAGACTACGTTTGGTGAGTTTCTGTAACAGTAATGTTGTTGGGTCCGAGGATTCTTCCTCCTTCTCGTCCTCAGCACCCAGCTTTCTACATTTGATCTTCCAAAACTGGTACGACACAATGATGATGACGGCCTCTACGCCCTGAAAGAAGCCGTACAACAGGGGAAACAGCAGCAGTTCTCCTGTGATCTCTGCGGGGAATGTTAGCTTCAGGATGGATAAAGCTAGCCCGATATTCTGGTTGCCGGTTTCGATGCAGACCGTCTTGCGGCACTTCATGTCCATCCGGAACAGCCAGGCGAGCAGGAAGCCGAACGTGTAGCCAATCATGGGCAAGATGACAGCCATGACGAAGATGGACGCCGGACCGACCCACATGTTCTTGTAGGTCAACCCGCTGAGCACCGCGCCGGCAAGCAGGATGAAGAACCCGAAGAAGCTCCCAATCTATCAACAAACAAACATCCTTAGTGCTCTTGCAAAATGAAATTGCTGTTTAGCACTGGATAGATAGTAACATTCTGGGAACACAAATGCTAGCCAATATAGGTCGGAATTTCGGAAACACAGAGTGAATTCTTGCAAACTGCACACAATACTCTACCATTAGACTCCCCCCCCGAGGCGTCTCCAACAATTCTTGCAGACTGCACACAATATTGTACCATTAGCCTCCCCCCTGATGCGTTGCCAAAAACGCACACCCATAGCTGATTCATCAGACACAACGCCCACGTCACCCACGTCACCAAATACTCTAAAACTCATTAGGCCATGTTGATTTGATTATATGGATGACATCCGCGCGCGCATGAATTTTCGGCCTTTTCCAAAAAAAAAAAGTATTCAACTATACTGTAAATCGTACAAAACAGTTGCAAAATGAGCAAAAATATACCGTAAGTTACAAAAAATAAGTAAAAACTATACCAATGTCGTAGAATGCCAAAATCAAACGAAAAAAGACGAAATTGTAAGGAAATGAACTTGAAGATTAGATTATTTGCCGAACCATATTCTGACCCATTTGTTCAACCCTCATGACCACGTAGATTTCATAATGAAAACAACTTTTTTTTTTTGCAAAACTTTTTTTTATTCGCACGCGCGCATCAGTTTTGGGGCTCCCGGAGGATGTCATCCATATAATAAAATCAACATGGCCTTATGATGAAACAAAAACTCACCTTCAGAAACAGCCAAGCCCCTTTCGGCGACTTGTACTTGAGCAGGACACCGAGGCCCACGGGGACTATAATCAGCACCAATGTCACGGCTATCTTCCAGTAGGGTATGACGATTTTCGGAGTGGTCCAGGGTTTACTGTACAGCCATAGACACAGCGGCATCAGGCCCATGGCCACCGCTGTAGACGCTGTCGTCATGCAGATACTATGGGGAAAAAAGACTTAAAACTTCAAACGAAAGAACCAGGCATAGAGTTGAATCTTGAAAATGCCCACATATGTATTTCAGCATATATGGAAAATGACAAGCATTCAGTCGCCTGTTAGTATAATCTACCCAACTAATTATGCTCGCGTCGCCTACTGATGATAGACCCTCGATGATACAGACGTGCGCAAGCACACGCACACACACTATTACACAGGCTCACACACGCACACATACTCATACACACACATGCGCGAGCAAATATAGAGGAAGTCTCAGCACTGAAAATCCAGTGGTGTTCCAGTGCTGAGAACTGAGGAGTGTGTTTAAATACTTTGGTATATTTTCCATGCGCGACAAGTACGCACACACACTGTCTCTCTCTCTCTCTCACACACACACACACACACACACACATATACACTCGCGTAACAAACTTCAGAATCATACCTGAGGCTCATGTCTCCGTCCACGAGGTAGGCCAGGATGTTGGATATGCTGCCACCAGGACAGCACCCCACCACTAACACTGACATGGCGCGGGCCGGATCCATCTATGGGCCAAAAGTAGACAGGAAAGCTATTAGTATAGTCTCTACAGACACAATAGTCTCGAACAGGCTTAGTGACTGAAAGCTATATGTTGGCCTAACTATCGTGAAGTTGGGTTCATACTTTGCTGAAGCAAGGACATTACACACAGAATGTCCTTGGCTGAAGAGAACAATTTGAAGGTTCAAACTTGACACCCAACCCTGTTTACTGGTTCAAAAAAAATATTTACGCCAAGTAGAGAAGTACAGAACGATGCGTGTGTGTGTGTCAGTGTCAAACCGAGGAGCTTCAATGTCCTTGGGCAAACTAAGGAAATGCCACTCACCTGGAAGGCCAGACACAACAAGAACGCCACTAGCGGCATGACCACGAACTGCGACAGGACGCCCACCGCTATCCCGTACGGCCGCTTGATGTGTTGAATCATCACGTCAATGTCAACAGCACAGCCCATGGCGACCAGGATCCCGGCAGCCAGGGTGCCGAACACCACGTCCATGGCGAGGTCCAACCCTCGCGAGACCGCAGCTGTCTTGGCGGTGGAGTTCTGAGTCAAGTTGTCAAACGGGGAATCTGTGGCTCCTTCGGCCATCTCTCGCAAAGACTGGGTCAAAGATTCCATCCTTTTGCGTGTGGAGAATGAAACACTGGCTCTCAAAAGAATGCTTCTCTATCTCAACAGAATCCGATGTCCCTGCCTTGTTGTGGTTGTTGTTGCCCTGGAACAAGTGCATTAGAACAGACTCAGTTGTTGCGCCATGGGTACTATTAAATCCCTCCCGACGTCGTCACAATCCCGTTCGTTCTCTTGACCACAGTGGCGTGGGAATTTTTGACTGCAACGAAAGCTAAAACCTACGGCAGCAGCGTTCTACTACTACTAGTAGTACCAGCTAGAATTGAGGCAAGTAGGTTACGAAGAGTTGTCTGTCTGTCAGGCTCTCCCCTGGTCGGACCAGTTGAACAGGTTCTCGTTACATTCCGTATCCTGCTAATTACTGGGTATATGTATAAGTATAACAGCCGCTAGCCATTCAGAGCGAGATAAAAGTAACACTAATGATGATAAGATCATACATGTCATTGAACAGAAAACATTCATAAGGAGGTACGGAACGCCCAAAATTGTGGGCAGACGGAGGGGTCGGTAAAGAGTGTGCAATTATGAGGAACCGTTGCGAGACTCGGTGGTAGACGTCGTCTCTGGATTAATTTTCTCGGCTTGTCATGTGCTGTTTTCTGATTGTACACATGTATATATCATCAGTCTGAAAACCGGTCGGCTGTCGGAAAACAAGTAGCAAATAGAGAACTGTGATCATCTGAAAACTTACTCTCCAAGCAGAGGTTTGGGTTACTTTTTGGCGTGTTTTTAGGCTTTTTTTATTTTTTTTATTTTTCACTGGAACTTTCGTTGGGTGAAAAAATCCCAGTGCAAAAAAAAAACAAACCTCGATAAAAAGGCCTAAGAACACATCAAAAATAACCCAAAACCCAAACCTCTGCTTGGAGAGTACTGACAACTGCACAGGATGACCCTAAAAAAAGTCCGTCGAAGTCTGCTCTGCTATAGTCTATCAACAAAACCCGCCTTGTGCTCAGCATGAGGGAATCTTGGCGACCTTCTAGCGACCTTCTGGGTTGTAGCGAACATGATAATCAGGGGCATGGCTGCTGACAGGGCAGAACTTTTGCGTGCCATTGAATACATTCCAACTGCTGAACAAAAGAGCTACTCTACTCTTCCCCTACTTTAATTCGTCGTGGCCACGTTTGAACATCAATCAGAAAGTTAACAGACCAGGCTTACATTCGCACGAGCGTTTAACTTTTACATAGATCTGTCATCCGGATCAAAATCCAAAGCGGCCAATACCATTCTCCAAGCAGATTTTAATAGGGTCATGGGTGTAGTGATTTTGCGCGTATCAATAGAAAGGCGTACACAGACCTCAAAAACAAAAGTAAAACTTGACATTGAGCCGAAACCTTCATATAATACTTGGAGATAAATTTCTCAAAAAGGTCATGGCAAGTATACATCTAATCTTGAACAACGAATGTTGCATTGCGAGCACACAATATTGATGTATTCAAGTTCTTCTCTCCTGACCGACTCTGGTGTTGCGTAACAACGCATGCGTACCTCCTCCGAGGTGTCACTAATCTTTCTTGTCATCAATAGCGTAAACACAAAAGAGTTCAAAAGTTCTTGAGTACTACTCTCCAAACGGAGGTTGGGATTGTTTTCAGGCGTTTTGTCATGTTTCTATTTTGTCAGTTTTTCTTTGGGTATATTGTCACCCAAATGAAAGCTGACAAATTGAAAGCCTGACAAATTTTAGGCCTAAAAACGCCGCCAGACAAGCCTGACTTCTGTTTGGAGTGTAGTGGAGTGCAACCGGGCCTGGGTTCAATCGCCGCAAGGCTTGCCAGGGACAATACAGGAGGTCAGAGCGTGTCAAAACACACCAGCGAATCACATTTCACAGTGGTTAGGTCCTGGCACGAAGAAAGACGGGCCAGGAGTGAAAATTTAAATATTCCAGGGCTGGTTTATACATTCTGTGGCTGTTTGTTGAGCTAAGCGTCAGGCAGAAGATTTAGCTGCGCGCTCTGAACCGTCCGAGAGAGAGAAAGGCAGCAGTCGCTGCCAGAGGGTCGTGCCCCAAAGGAGGAAGTCGTGCAACGAGACAAGGACTTCTGTCTGTGGGTGGATTTAGATTCCAGATTCCGTTTTTCTTCTCCTGTGCATTTGGGGAGCTGAGACTTTTCCAGGCAAGTTCGATCGATTGGCCGCAACTTTGGGGAGCTATCTCGAGGATATCACTGTTTCTACTATAAGGCTTCCGGAGCTGTCTGTCGTTAATATCAGCATTTAGTATACGTACTAGTACATGCAGGCCGCGACGGAATATCACGGAAGGACACAGCATATAAGAGTTGACATATGTACAGAGGGACTTTTAAGGACTCGAGGACGATGGAAATGGAGGATTTTGAGAAGACAGTTGCAGACGAGGCACCAGGGAGGCCCACTGCTTTCTCCCTTCCCCCGCTGTCAACAGAGCTGAGCAGGGCTTGGGCTCCAAACACTACCTGGAACTTCACACTGAACGACACGGTCTCACTTCCCGAGGAAGATGGCGGGATCACCAGCACAGTCATGGACGTGGTGGTCACGATTACCGTCTGTCTTATCCTGGTGGCCATGGGCTGTACCCTCGACTTGCAGGCCATGCTGAAGTATATCAAGAGGCCGTACGGGATAGCGGTGGGAGTCATGTCGCAGTTCGTCATCATGCCGCTAGTGGCGTTTCTGTTGTGCCTAGCCTTTCAGGTGAGTGAGATTTTAGCTATACATGTACTTTGTGAGACGAAGAAAATACCATTAAAGTTTTAACTCTGACTGAGTCTGAGCATTTTTGCGGAGGGGGCTGTGATAAGTTATACAGTGAGCACAGAACCACCCAGTCAAATGTCTGTCTGTTTAAATTGATAAACAAAAAGAAGAAAATAGATGACTTTTCACTGGGCGATATAATAAGCAATTTGCTAGAGAAGCATATACCTGTTTCATGTTTTAACTGTGCATGCGCATAGTGGTGCATTGTGGGTGGTATGTCAAGTTAAAGGCCCCTGAGACATAAACGAAACATATCTGGATATACTAGTAGTATAAAAAATTATGCAATACTAGAAAGGCCGACATTTGCTTGGGAGCAAATACAGCATATTTCAGTCCATCTCCCTCCCACGCAAAAGTGGACTATTCCAAATTTACCCCAGTGCAAAACTGGCGAAGGTTCTCAAATAAATGAATTAAATAGTAGCTATATGAGAACAAAGATGCAACAACATGTACTTTGAATCTCGAAAGCTTTACTAATCTTATTACAGGTATGCAAAAACTAACAATGATGAGATTTGATACATTTTGAAGGTCTTAGGCACATAAAATTGAATGTGTGGGTCATTACGCACCACTTAGGTGCAATGTGACCTCAGGTAACCCGCAATGGAACACGTGTTCCATGGATGGAACCGGCCATTCTTTAGATAGAACATGGAACGGGTATAGCACTTTTGGCCCTTTTTGTGCTGAAAATAGCCATTAAAGTCTCCCAAATGAGTCATTTGGAAGTGGTGTATGCCAAATATGTGACTGCTATTCTGTAGACACATGTTCAAGGTACCCTTATACCGAATTTCAGATCATTTGGTTGTAAAACCAGGGCTCAGGATCCAAAAATCCATTTTTTGGCGAAAAATGCCCCAAAAAACCTTCATAAAAATTTTTTAAAGGCATGTATCAAAAAAATGAAAAAAACGCCTGGGGGTATTGGCCCACTCTACCTCCATGCCAAATTTCAAGTCATTTGGCTGAATGATGGCGGAGTTGAATCCCTTTGACTGTTTGGCAGGAGAAGGAGGAGAAGAAACATCAGAGAACACAATATATTTCATCCATACCATGGTATGGACTGAAATATAAAAACTGTACATGTTAGGTGCCTTCACCTCAGTGCCCTCGCGCACACGTGCACCGGCTTGCAGTAAATGTTGTGTTCCCGGTACAGTTGGAGCCAGCCCGCGCTCTGTCCGTCCTGGTGGTCGGTACCTGTCCGGGCGGTCACATGTCCAACCTTCTGGTGTACTGGCTGGACGGAGACATCAACCTCAGGTAATAATAACCTCAGCTTAATCTCCAAGCAGATCCTAGGGTAGCAAAAGACAGTATCAAATTGGCCAGGCAGTTTCCAGTCGCCCGAGAGGGTCCAATACGCCACGCATGTGTTAGAGTAAGAATTAATAGGGCAGTAGTTTCTTAGGCTAGACTATAGCTATGTAAAGTTTTTTTTAATTTTATTGTTGTATAGGTAATTTCATTTTATTGTTGTATATAAGGTAAACGTCATGAATTTGTTTTTTGTTTTTACATTTCTGTTCCACATTTGTGAATCAATAGTTGCAGAAAACTTTACTGAAACCCCTGTACTTTTGCTGTGAACATTAAGTTCTATACTTTCTCTCAGTATCTGCATGACGACAGTGTCCACCGCCCTGGCCATGGGCCTGATGCCGCTGTGTCTGTGGATCTACAGTAAACCGTTCACAACCGCCACGACGGTCGTCCCTTACGGCAAGATAGTCATCGCCCTCGTCACCATCATCATCCCTGTTAGTGTCGGCATCTTTCTCAAGTACAAGTCTCCGAAAGGGGCCAGGTTGTTTTTGAAGGTGCGTTTTATGTTTACTGAAGGAAAAAATGTTTTTGCTCTGTTTCCTCTTCTTCTTCTCCAAACAAATAAGGTTAATGACCTGAACCAGACGTCTGTCACCATGGTAACTAGTGTTAGGTTACATCATGTTGCATTTTTATAGCAGGAGGGATTTAGACTCCTGTTTAAATGGAGGGAATGTAAGCGTTCACCTTATTGCTTTAAAAGACACTATGTGATCTTTTCTCATCTCTTGATTTGAATGTTTTTTCATTCAGATTGGCGGCATATTCGGCATCGTCATCATCCTAGCCAGCGCGGTGCTTGGTGGGATAGCCTACAAGGACATGTGGACCGGACCTCCCGCCATTTTCCTCATCGCCTTCGTCTTCCCCACGATTGGCTACTCCTTCGGTTACGTCATCGCCTGGCTCTTCCGTATGGAGGACACCCTCCGGAAAACCGTGTGCATCGAGACGGGGACGCAGAACATCGGGATCGCCCTGTCGATTTTAAAGTTGACATTTGCTCCAGAACTAGCGAGTAAGATTATCCTGTTCCCCATGCTGTACGCCACTTTCCAGGGCACAGAGGCGATGATACTAGTGGTGTCCTACCAGATCTGGAAAAGGAAGTGTAAAGCCGTAGAAGAGAAGGAAGAGAAAGAGACAGCCGATGAAGCAAAGCAGGAAACCCTACTTGACGATGCGATGACCAAGGATGAAGACGTGTACGAATTCGTTACTGCTCTGTGACATGCCACTCTGTTCTTAGCTTGAAAGTTCATCCAGGAAGGTAGAAGGAAGGTTCATCTCTAATTTCCTATACAAAAAAATTATTGGACTGGCCAACATGCTCCCAAGGAAATTTAACCACATACCCCCCTCCGTCTCATTGGGAGTTATGGTAAGATTCCTTACGGGTATGTTGGCCCTGGAGCCGGGGAGCTGAATGGTATCAAGGCAACGAAAATGTCCTTAATCAATCAATCGTATTTGATATTTTAACTAACAGGTTAGGCTCTGATAAAGTATATAGTGCCGACTTGTAAAATATACATGAACCTAGGCTTTAAGGCAGTAAAACTTTATATACATCTTTAATTACATTTAAACACGAGTTATATAAAGGACCTAAAGGAGGAGTCCAATGTAATACTATGTCCGCCCATCGAATAATCACCTCACAAATTTATCGGTAAAGAACTGTTTTTACACTATGGGTGGGGAAAAAAGTGAAACTTCCCACACCGGGAATCGAACCCGGGCCTTGGCGGTGAGAGCGCCAAATCCTAACCACTAGACCATATGGGACTTCGTGACTACGGACGGTCCAATAGCAGCGTTGTTCGATAACAATTCCAACTCCACACAAGACCAACATCAATCAAACTGTTGAACCAGGAATCCTTAAATAGTTGATGTGTATCCGAGAATTTTAACACCCAATACATCACGACTAATTATATAATTTTGACCCTCTGGACATTCCCACCATCCCCACACTACCCAGTGAGTGGATTATAAATAATTTAATTCCTTCCTAATCTGTAACTAAATTTTACAAATTTTGCTGATTTTGTATCAATAAAAAGGTGGTATTTTATATAACACTGACCTTTGGTCTTGAGCCTGCCTTTAACTTCAATATCTGGTACACTGCTGTATTAATTAAGAGCATCCCCGACATTGCAGCAGGTGCAAAAAAAATAATGACTTCCCACGCCGGGAATCGAACCCGGGCCTTGGCGGTGAGAGCGCCAAATCCTAACCACTAGACCACATGGGACTTCGTGAGTGAGATCGGCCCATTAGCACCCTTGTTTACTACTCCATACAAGAAAAACAACATCAAGCAGTAACACCGAGTAAGTCTTAACAAGAACATTAATGTCCTTGGTTTTGGTTCATTTTCTTTGTCGGTGTCCAGTGTGAATGCTCATCAAAAGAAACATTTCGCTTACAATCACTGGGTAACGCATCATTCGTTTCTTTAGTTTGCGAACTTTGGAATGGGAGTTGTCTGCACAGAACTTTGTACTTTTAAGTCCTTTTGATTGGCAGGTGCTTTGCGTGACGTCATCGTTAGACAACATGACCACCGCGCTACGCAGCAAATCAGTGCAGAACAATCACCAGTCAGTCAGTATGTTCTTTGATTGATCCGTTTATATTTTAAGCATAACGTTTTTTTCTATGCCATTTACACCTTATCTCCAAGCAGATTTCTTTCGGTGGCAAGACAGTACCCATTAACCAGAGGAGTTTGCACGGCCACCGAAGGCTAATGGGCACTCCTAGCCTCTGGCCAATGGTTACTGCCTTGCCACCATGTCTCTCCTGGCCAATGGATACTGCCTTGCCACCATGCCATGCCCATATGATCTGCTTGAAGATTGATTTACGCCGACGGAATTAAGCATGTACACAACGATTATCAGTGATAAATTCCGTGCTCAGAAGGCAGCTGACAAAACGACCCGACATGTTGACAGATTCGACAACTGTACAAACTATCGACTTACTGTTAAGTGGTGCCCTCTTGCACAAGAGTAAACTCCAGTACAACCAAGAGCAGTTAATAAGAACATAAACAGGAATGTATTAATTCTAGGTAATAAATCAGATAAGGCGGTTCGGAATCAAACTGGATAGCTAGAAGAGTCAAAATATCAATGACTCAATCCAAAAAGGAAACTTCCCACACCGGGAATCGAACCCGGGCCTTGGCGGTGAGAGCGCCAAATCCTAACCACTAGACCATATGGGAGATTCGTGATCAGATAGGAAATTAATTTCGTTTTGAATAACCACACTTGCAGTGTATAAGGCTTAAATCTTAACCATTATAGTATTCACAGAGATAACGACTCCGTAATCTATTGGCAGAAAATGCTTTGATGATTTGATCACCTTTATTGCACAAGTAATAAACTTGATATAACAATCAAATAAATAAATAAATAAATAGGTTGGGATGTAACAAGTCCACTGAGATATTAATAATGGCACTGGCAGGTTTTATCTTTGGTATGAATATGCAAATGATGTCAATTTGTATTCTGATAGATCCTGGATTTTACAACATGTAGATATATATGACTGAAATGACGTAAACTAAAACGATTTAAGAAAACTTTTAAAATACTATAAAATAATATATACTGGCGATAAAAGAAACGTTTTCCCTCATAGAAAGGTAAAAAAAAACAACTTCATGGACGGAAATGATAAACAAACAAATGTCAGATAAACAAAAATATTCGTAAACATACATAAAAGCACAAAGGACAACATAACTCAACAAGTAAATCATAGTTACAACAGCTAATCATTTAAACATTACGTTTCATATTAGGGGCAGACCAGAAAGCATGAGGGGGGCGAAAATGTTTCCCCTCTCCCGCTACCATCATTTCGTGATTCGCCCCTGAAATTTCGCAATAGAGAAAATTTCTTCATACCTATGTATGTGTTATCAACGTGTAACTTGTTTTGGATGAATGAAAACATTCATATGATGATGAAATAAACAGATATGAATGTCTTTGGTAGCTTGTCATGATAAACATAGAATATAATGTAGCACCTAGCGGTATTTGTCATTATTGCTTTGGCCATATTCGCCATTCCCTGTCATACAAAAAATTGGCAAATCTCTGATTTAATTACGATGCGCTTTCCACAACTTCTCATTCCCTGAGCATACATTGTATCTAATTATTATAATTACTTTAGAGAGTGTCCGTTCAATAAACTTTGGCCTGTTCGCGTCCATCCATATCGACAGGAAATTCCGGACATTCCCGAAGATAGCCGAAGTGTTCCTGCCGACTTCCGATCATCGTCCGGGCACTCGAGGGTGCAACCACGGGCATCGGTCATTGACCCCCAAGTCACTGACATGGTTCCGATCATGTTTTTAGAAGGAGTGAGGCCGTTGGCTGTCGTCCAAAAGTAGTTTCCTGAGTACAATATGGACATAAAAAAATTTAGTATAGTTGTATAACAATAGATTTTAGACATAAGAAATAAGGTAAAGCTAAACGTGACATAGTGAAAAGCCAAGTATGCATATACATGTGTGTACATGTACAGTATATGATGCTGGGATAGCCACCGGACGCGCATGCATGGTGACTGTTGTTTATTTGTTGTCATCGGACCGGAAATGTCGACGAGAAAACAACAAACGTAGAAAGTGAAGGTTATAGGAGGATACGTTCAAAACACGTTTGTATATGTACATTTTCTGATTGTCAACAACTTTAAGTATATCATAAGAAGCTTCTAGGAGAGTAACAGAGAGGACCCCCGTACCTGACTGGATCTTGTTTCATGAAGAGTTGTTTGAAAACCTCCAACTCGTCTTCCTCCCTCAGCAGAGCCAGTGCCTTTCTAGAAGAGTTCTCCGGTATTTCAAAGTATAGTCTTGCGGCCCTGATTCCCGCTAGCGCCTTGCTGTAGTTCCCGCTACAGATCAGGTCCTGTACGGCCAGCAGACACCCCTCGATGTTCTCTACACTGTCCGGTTCGCAATCCCACAAGTCCATGTCGTGAGCAGGCATGGGCGCCTCTCCTGAGATGAGCTGTTTGATGTAAGGTTCTATCACGGCCCAGAACCGCAGCATCTCTGTCTCGGACCAGAGCGGCTCCCTCGCCGTCCGCCGGGGACTCACTCCGACGGGGACCGACAGGGGCGACGGCGTCCGCCGAGGACTTCCGCTGACGGGAACCGACGCCGGAGACGTCGAGGATTTGATCGGAATCGGCGCCGACGCCGCCGGTTTGGACAGTAGTAGTCTCCGCGGAAGGTCCGTTAATGTCGATATCGGGGACGACTTTGTCGGGACTGGCAAGGGCGGCTTGGCGAGCGTCCGTAAGGATTGGTCCGTGCTGACGCCGACCTGGCGACTTGACGTTGAGAACACGGCGGTCTTGATCGGGATCGGTGCCGACGGCTGCCGGCCGCGGGGGTTCTCTCGGGTTGGCGTGCCGACGTGTCCCAACGCCTCGACGGGCGACAAGCCGCACACCGCTACCCCCTCACTAATCTCGTGACGCGAGCTCCAACAAGCAGGCATGTTGCCGGCGTCCAAAGCGTATCTCAACGCGTACATACGTACTTTAGTACTAGTCCTGAATTTCCCGCGCCTTTAGTAGAGCGGCCGCTTTCTTCCTATCCGGAGAAAGTATCGCCTAAAAAGCAAAAACGTTTCGAAGAAAGACCAGAATCAGTTGCGGAACGTCCAGGTACCGGTGTTCAAAGTCAAAACAAATCTGTTGTTCCAAAGCACCGGCGTCTCTATTTAGCCCTAGTGCCCCTTTGTTGTCTGATTCAAACATTACGTCAATGGCCTGACTTGGACGATTCCATTTTATGCCCCTGCAGGGGTTAAAGGTCTTAAATACAAAAAAGGTGCGGATAAAAAAAGTATAAAGTACTGATGAATCTATTTTTGTGTGTTTGAAAGTTGTGATTGATGCGAATAATGATAATTTTAAACCGACAATAATATGTTTGCCATTGATTACTAAGAAAAGTTATGAGAATCTTACCAAAATATCCCTCCCGTGAATGGTTGGCGCCAATCATGATTCAGACATATGGGCTGACCTATTTAGTCATTTGTGTTTGACTTTCCCGTGTTTTAAAGTGTGCTTGAAACACTTATTATGGCGGACGTCACTAAGCATGTCCGGGTCACCACAAACACGTGGCCGGGCCGCGTCTGTTGTGTTTCCTTTGGGGCTGAACTTGTTGTAGAATGTCCTTGGTACACCGAAGGGTTTGCAGGAATACCGTAACGTGCTATTTTGCCGAAGTACTTTGGTCAATATCGTACTCTTACATTTATCAAAATAAAAATACAAGTTCACGGAACGTGTGTAACAGCAAAATATATATTATTTTAATTATTATACTAGAGTGTTAGAATTTTAATTTCTGTAGTCCAGTTATGGGTTTGCTTACTGAGACAGAACTGGCATATTGTATCACGTTTCGTGAAATGAAAATGAAAAAAAAAAAGACTCTAGAAAAGCCTCTTTAGACTCATCATTCTTTACCCTCTACATTTGTTTATACATGTAATTATTTTGATATTTCATTGAACATTACGCATTGGTAAGTCACCACGAAAAATAAATGTATCTGTTGCAATGCACATGTATACTATCATCGTTACATACTCGTCCAAAAGTCAACCCTTAATTTTTGGCCTTATGAATAAGTGTATACGCACACACATACTTCTTACTATCAGGCGGTATTTCCTGAGAAAAACAGTTACTGTACATGGCGACATCACTGTGCGTATTCCCCTATACACACCCTTGTTGTTGATTGTTTATCACTATAGCCTCGGGGATACCGGTGAGTGGTATGCGTCATTCGTCTTGACCTGTGACCTGGCGATGCTTTTCAGATTTGGGCGGGAAATATACCGGCCGGCGGCACTTGTACCATGACTCACATCCTTATGTATTCCTGTTTTGTTGTGGTCACTGGGTGGTGCGACAGAATGACCAATACGTCGTGAACGTCTTGAAAAGCAATGAATAAGGCCTGTTGTATTAAAGAGCTAGACTTTTGGTGGACCAAATGACTCACTACCTCGGTACGCATTTTATAGCCATTTTAGATTACATGTATATGACTAATATGTCTTCACGTAAAAATACCAAGTAAACTGATTGCAAGCGATAGCAACAGCTTTGCCTAAATTAACTAGACACTCCAAATTCAACGGTCAAGCTCAATAATCTGATTTTACATTACCAAAAATTATGGCAATAACGTTGATCAATCCCTTTTTCAATGGTTACCGGTTTCAAAGTCTGAAAAAAATTTTAAACGTTTTTAAACAGCCACTGATGTTGGAAAGGAAAACTGATGTTGGAAAGGAAAATCTTCTGCTTTGCTGATTTTTCTGACACGATTGAAGATTGTTGGAATGGTTCTTTGCCAAAAAGACGGCGGTGTCGCAAAACGTTCGACTTTTCCATCCCAACATCTGCTTGGAGATGATAGGCTAGCTATCCTGGTCACGAGAAGACATAAATACCAAGATGGCCGCGCCCAGTCAGCGGAAAGCTGACGTGTTGTTATAGCGTTGTTTCATCACCTGTACGCTTACGGAAAGAACCTAGATCCAGTCATTTTATCATTGCCAGCTGTAAGAAGACCTGATCAAGGTATGGAAGTGGCTGATGTGCGCTGTCAGGGCGAGATATCTGAATATTTGAAGATATCTTCGTTGCATTTTTTGAGGTGGGAGGGGGGCGCACATATTTATATGCAAGGTATTTCAAGTAAGAGGGATAAAATAACAGAAACTCGCAATTTGTTATGTTGATTGTGGAAGATTTGAAAAATATTGGCTGATCAACGCAATTAGTCTAGTTGTTATATCTCTGTGAATTTCAGTTGACTGTCCGTACGAAATATGAATTTGTTTTGCATATGTCACATTGTTTTGATACACGTTAACGTTATAGTATACTTATACATGGTGTTTTACAGATGTGGCCCTTACGCGGTGGCCGCCATAGGCGTCCAGGAATCGCTCTGGTGCTTCTTGCATTTCAGGTAACTCAACTATTTAATCTCATATGCACAATAATGTTACATACATGTACATGTATCGTACATGCATACATGTAATGTGATATCACAGGTCTCTGCTACTGAAGTGTTCAGTTTTGAACTAAACAGGTTTTTAGACCTTCTGTCACCATATATCCTAAAGGTAAATAGACCAATCCCAATGCCTAGCTCTGTCTAACTCTTAAAGCATGGAAATGCAAAATGAAACAGGAAAGTTTAAATGGACAATGTGTATTTAAGAGACATGCAGCCACTGTCTTCTTCTTCTTCTTCTTCCCTTTACGTGCTAGCCTCACTAGTTTGAGGCCTCCAGCACGGTGGGGGTAGGGGTTTTTGATAGGGGTGGTCGCAAATGTATAATATAAATGTATATGTAAATGTATATATATGTTGTGGTATATATGTTGTGGTCTACAGCTCCTCAATGGGCAGGGGCGCCACTCCCTGTCCGCCACCCAAAGCAGGGTGACGGCGAGTCTCATTGGTTGAACCGCTAATTGCTATCCTATCATTGGTTGAACTGCTGACTGCGATGGACAGTCAGGATCAGTCTATTGTATCTCTCCCTCAGATGGCCCAAGCTGGATTTCAGAACATCCCGCCCGTTACCTTGGCAACCCTGGCTGCCAACGTGGCCATCTTCCTGCGGCTGTTCCGTGGTTTCCGCTACCCCAAACTCGGGGAGGTGTGTGTGAGCGTGGTCCACGTGTGGTACCAAGGGGTAAGTACAACAACATTTTTATTTGTCAGACAGTCTTTAGAAAAAAGCCAACAGCTATTTGATATGTGTCAATCATTATACACATTTATAATGATGCTATTGAAAGATTTGATTAAACTATAGTACTTTTCAAACAAGCAGTGTGATAAACTTTGTAGTCTTTGTGTCATCTGTTGGTATGTGGCTTTTGCTGCAGAGGTATTGCTAAATTTGTTTAATCCATTGCAGATATAGGGTGGTGCCCATCTTCATTTCTATAGCCCTTGGGCCATGCAGTTATGCAAGCACTACAGCAGGGGGCTAGTCCACTGGTAGTCATGTGTAATAAGCAAGAAAAAGTAGCATGTACCACTTTTTAAGTCTTTGGCTGGGATTTGACCCCAAGAATGCAAAGCCAGCACTCTACCCACTAGCCTACTACATGTAATATTTCACTGTTATTGTTGCTTGTTGACAGGACTGGAAGAGGCTGATCTACTCTGCGTTCTTCCATGCTGACGAGTGGCATCTGTACTACAACATGGCTTCCTTCATGTGGAAGGGCATCACGTTAGAGCGCAGACTGGGTAGTGCCCGGTTCCTGTACCTGCTGACAGTGTTCACGGTCTGTACCCACTCCCTCCTGCTGGGGCTCAACTACTCCATGGGCCACTTCTTCCACCAGTCCTCGTATCTAGCTGACTGTGCTGTAGGCTTCTCAGGTAAGGTACATGTACAAGGTAGAGTCCAAATCAGGGTTCTAGCCAGGGTTTTCGTCAATTACTGGAACTTTACGGTGTGTGGCAGAAATTTTTTAAAACCAAACCGTCAACCTTGACAGACAAATTTGTAAAAATCTTGGGTAAAATGTGAAATGAACTGTCAATAATGTTATAGACCTAGCGTTGACACTTCTTGCTTGACTTCATACTTAGTCTAGTATTTCAGGGTAGCTTTTAGCTGAAAACGTGTACAGAACTGTTTGTTTTATGAGTCGATGTTTGACTGACATTTCAGGGGTAATTTTTGCGCTGAAAGTGCTGACCACACACTACCTCCCTCCTGGGATGACCTACGTCATGGGATGGTTCCCTGTGCCCCGCAGAATTGCATGCTGGGTAGAGCTGGTGGTCATACAGGTACATTTATCAATGCTTTGTCAATCTCTAAGTCATTATCTATTCCTAGTACAGTCAAAGTTGTGACAACTTTCACAACAATTTCCTACTAGTTGTAAAAAGTGTTCTGTGGGCACATATAGTTAATTGTGTGGCTCTTTTGGGTAGTAAAAACATACTGGTTGCATCTATGGGAACTCACCAGGTTTCTCTACATTTCACTATTTGTACCGAGCAGTACACAGTAACAGAAGTATGAATGCTCAAGAAAACAGTTACTGAAGCAACTGGATGGGTCTCGTGTACTGTTTTCCTGTGTATCTTGTTACCTGAATGTCTAACCTTCATTAACGTAGAAGTATGACATAAAATAGCATCACCATTTTTTTGGTTTGAATCACCAGATCCTGATCCCCCGTGCGTCGTTCATGGGCCACCTGTCAGGGATACTGGTGGGTCTGCTGTACACCAGCGGGCCTCTCAGGGCCATCATGGACCTGCCGTTTGGAGGTACTGTAATTATGCTTACCTTCTCAGAAGGAAAACATAATGTTTTTGCTCAGTTTCTTCTACTTCTCCAAACAAATAAGGTCAATGACCTGAACCAGTAGTCTGTCACCATGGTAACTAGAGTTGGGTTACATCATATTGCAATTTTATTATATTTACCTTTGCAGAAGGAAAATATCTTGTTTTTGCTCAGTTTCTTCTTCTTCTCCAAACAAATAAGGTCAATGACCTGGACCAGACGTCTGTCACCATGGTAACTGGTGCTGTAGCGTTGGTTACATTATGTAGCAGAAGGAGTTGGAAACTGTGAAAGAGTATGGTCATTTACATGTGTAACACAAAAAATGTCAGCCCCTGGCTGAAGGGCTTGACATTTTAGTTTGCCTAACTTCTCTCCCACAATTTCCCATCTCAGGTTGGACCAGACATCGTTACTATGATGATTATGGAGCTCCAGAACCCAGACACACCCGGCAACAGTCCTACACCTATCATGCAGGTCAGAAACTTCATTGTCTAGAGATCACTTTATATTCAACATCGTATTCTAGGAACTTTTTATGTTTTAATACCTTCGCAGAAGGAAAACATTGTTTTTGCTACGTTTCTTCTTCTTCTCCAAACAATGACCTGAACCATACTGTCTGTTACCATGGTGCTAGTAACTAGTGTTGGGTTACGTCATGTTGCAATTTTATAGCAACATGATGTAACCCAAATAGAGGGATTCAGACTCCTGTCTGACCACATACATGTATATCAATGTGTTTGAGTAAGAATTAACAGAGCAGACTATATGCAAAGATAGACATGCACTTGCTTTGCAAATGTTACCTTGATAGTTCAGGTAGTTTTTTATTGACTGAAAGGCAAAAGATTATGATTGGTCTGAAATTGATGTGGCACAAGTACTAAAAGTACAAGTGCGAGTTTTTCAAGCCCTATCTTGAGAAGTTGACATTGTCTTGCAGGTGCCACAGGATATCGGGCTCCAGGAGGGACGGGGCTAACAGAGGAGGAGGAACTCCAGGCAGCCATGCAGCAGAGTCTGCAGGAGTATGAACAACAGGCTACACGGGCCGCCATTCAGGAGAGTGTCAGAGATACAGGTACACGTAACATACAGGCTGCCAAGTGCACTTATACGATTGTTATACACTAACTAAAGGCAATACTGCAAATCACTTGATATCTGTGGTACTTTTATATTCACAATTTTCAGTCACTTCTATACCGCGAACCTATCATTACTGCGAACAAATATTTCACTGACTTTCTTTCCTCTGCACCTGCCGCCACCATGAAAATATACATGTAGTTCTGCACACAATTAATTTTTCTCAGACCGCAAAATTTTGCTACCATGTATATTAAGTTATTTACAGTAGTAGTATCGCTTATGAAACATTCCAAAATGATTTTTTTTCTTGTAGTGTAGGCAACCTGTATTCTAGAATTTCTACATCTTTAGAGAGATAGAAAGCTACATTGTATTTTTAATGTGTTTCAGGTTTTGGTGACGGCAGGCAGCCTAGTGCCCCTCCCATCCACACAGCGTTTGAGGGAGCCACTCCTACTGCACCCATGTCAGACCTGGAAGAGCTACGGCAGCGCAGGTTAACTAGACTGGATCAGCTGCACAGATGACACCTGCAGCAGCTGCACAGATGACACCTGCAGCAGCTGCACAGATGACACCTGCAGCAGCTGCACAGATGACACCTGCAGCATCCTCTGCTACAAGGAAAAGCTACCTGCCAATCACACTGCCTTTTACAGTCAACAGGCAATGTGATTGGCCTGAGGCTGCTAAAAGGAAAAGCTATTAGCCAATCACATTGCTTTTTACAGTCAAGAGGCAACATGATTGACTGATAACATTTCCTCCTAGTCCAACCACATGTAGCGGAATATCTGATTGGATGACCAGACTTGAGCAACTGAAATAAAGCTAGCAATGTAGCAATATTATTTATTCACTCAGAGTAGTTGTGTGCTATAGTTCTTGGTCGCTAAATCATATATCAAGCACGTACATTGTATCAATATCGTTTTACAATTGCACTATGTAACAAATTTTCTAATTCATGTGAATTTACTTGAATATTTCTCTCCATCCAAAAGTTTAAAATCTGAAACAAGAGATGTAATCTTTTGACTAGTTTATCATGAGAAAGGGAAATTATATTTCCTGGGGAAAATTAACAGCCAAATTGGAAATTATTATTGTTGCATCTAACCACATACTAGTAAGTGCCAGTGTGCATTTTATGGTTTTTCAAACTTTGTATCAAAGAAAGAACCTTAAATATTTTATTTCATGACATACTCCTTTTATCTTTGGCAAAGTTATAGCTACAGCTTTTGTGTTTGAATCATGATATTCTTTCTTTTTTGTGTTTGAATTCTAATATTCTTTTGTATCACAACAGAGCAGCTTTTAAACCAATGCAGTAATATACGTAAAACTTGATTTAAATGGAAATAAAGTCCAGAATATTGTACATTTTTACTTGTTGTTTTTATCATTTGAAGAGAGCAATCCTGGTACATGTGTTTCCACTGTACAAGTTTTGCTCCCTCGCACAATTTCACCCAATTTGCCCTTGCTTTTACCACTCTTGTAGCTATGTAAAAAGAGAGACAAAAGAAGACACAAGACAAGTGATACTTGCAAAATGAAGCTGGCTCCATACCAGGATGGCACCAGCTCCATTTACTGTTATTAACTGCCTCTCACATGAACGGCCATGTATACAGAAAAATGGTAACTTGCATAGAACAAATCTTAAAGGACATCCTACCAGCACGTATACACCACTTGTTTTTAGCTCTACAATCCACAAACACTGGTTGTAAAGCAATTCGTGATGATCCTATATAAAATTTTGGCTGACAGTTCCCGTTGTACGTACAGTTCAACTGTTGTCATCTTTGGCATTCTTGACCAAATAACTTTTTCTACTGAATCCGAGAAATTTGTCATTTTAACGAAGTTACCACTTCATCGAGTTATTCAGCTAGTGACTACAAAATCTACAGATACAACGCTCGAGTCACCCAACCCTCTCCTCCCTACGCAATGGTTTGTTCCACTAATTTACACATTTTTGAGGCACTATTTAGGCCAGAATTTGGACAGTTTGATTATCAGAACAGGGAGGGTCAGGTTATAGGAGCAACAATACATCTCAAGTTGTAACACCGTAATATCATAATAACATCACTGGAACATTTTCACTTTGAAAAAAAAATTATTATAAAAAATATCCACACTTAGTTGCTGAAGACTCTTGTACATGTACATTTTTTAAACATACTAGTATATAATACAGGCCAAAACGGCAAAAAGTGCAAGCAAAACCTTGCAAATATACCTTGTACATGTCCATTTTTTTTTTTAACTTCCCAAGAGTCTGAAAAGTTTACCTGATTGCTAAAATGGCCCAGTGACGTCCATCAACATACATACAAAACTTAAAACACCTTTACCTAACTAAAAACCATAGTGTTACGGTAACAATATTGCTTGTAGTAAATTCGTCAATGTGGAGAGTTGGCTCATCTCTGGAAGGAAGGTACAGAGTATGTCACATGTCATGTTTGAATTGGGTCTTGGATACCAATACTGTTAGAGAATTCTGGCTCTCCTAAACAAGAAGTTATAAAATGTACATCTTTGCTGGAAACACAAGCATACCCTTTTCAGGTATGCCCTAGTTTTGTCAAACAGTAGCCTCCATTCCAGAGCTGAATGCTTATGAGCACTAAGTATCGTATAAGTACAATAGCCATACCAATCCTTCCTCTTGGTTCTAGGCAAAAAGAGAAACAGTCCAAATTTGTACAGTAGATATAAAATTATAATAACAATTAGTATTGACAGGATATGTATATAAGTAACATAAATGCTTGACTTTTCTCTTAATTTACTATTCCACTCAAGCTGACAAATGTTAGAACCAAGAAAAAAATTGGTGTGCCAAAAGAAAACAGCATATGCAGCACTATTTGTAAATTGTAGACACCAAAAGTTCACAGTAATAAGCGTATAGTAACTATATCTGGCAGCATCTAATGATATTGATAGGGTTAGCTGTAACTGTCAGGCTATTGGGCACATTGGACCATCTAATCACAAAGGCTGTGATTGGCCAGTTTAAACGTCACATCATCGAAACTGACCAATCAGGAACCAGCATAAAACAAATGTTACATGTGATAATTTGGTAACAGTTAGCCCTTTGTAAACAAATTTTTCTGATTAAATTATTCACCATATTTATGGATGAGTTATTTCAAACTTATTCTTGCTTGATATACAACCAAACTGCACCTTTGGAGTGGCTTCTGAGAATACAGCAAATGATCGAAGAATAGAGCTTGTGCATTTAGTAATTTTTACTTTTAGGACCCTCCTAAACATCACCTTAATATGAATTCATACCAATAAATATGTGCTCAACTTAGATTAACAGCAAACAAGTTCTATTCAACACCCTGTGTCAATATGAAGACTCACACATTATTTAGAATATGGTACTTTTTCCATTTAGATTACTTCTAGCTTTGTTTACAATATGTTTTCCTCTAGTATACTAGTATATTTGTTCTGAAAATTAAGACTGTTGTGAGTTATACAGGAAACAATTTTGTGTCTGGAAAATACATGGTGTGTACAACCAGAGCTTGACTGGAAGCACACAATGTTGCCAAGTATTCAGTATTCAGCCATCTAACAACAACAATCCTCCATGTATCCAGAAACTTTACTGGGTATGTAGGTGCCTGTTTTTGATAATTGATACATGTTTACTTTGAATAATTGATACATGTTTATTTTCAAACTCCAATTCCAAACTTTTGCCAGCAACTCAGAAATTCATATCATTACCAGTCAAAAATACATTTCTGAAAAGTCATGCCAAATCAATTTTACATGACGTGACAGCCAATATATTTCTCCTTACAAGTTACATTACTTGCCACGCTGCAAAGTTTGAAAACCTCAATTCCTACCATACCTCATTGGTAGGTACAGAAACACACATAGAATTTTGATGCTTTTTGCTTCAAGAGGTTGGCTCTGAACATTAGCTCATTTTATATACAAAGTTTCTATCATACGATTAACATGTACATGGCTTTAGCTTGTGTGAAATAGTGTAACCTCAGTATCTAGTGAATGAAACAGGTTTGTATACCATGTTTACTTTACTATGCCCAAAAGTTGGCCACCTTGGTAACCACATGTGGATGTAAAATACTATCATTGAAGTACTCTCTTGCTTTTGCATGCGAGACCCAAAAATTTGACCACACTTTCACATTGTTTTCAGACAATACAATAAAAGCAGCAAAATTAAGAGTTGTCCTTTTTGCATGACAACTGACAATGTACCAATTTTTTCCGAGGCTAGTCAAATTGTGACATTTTGCTGGAATAAATGGTATTGATTGTCCAATGTGGACAAATTGTGGCCTAAATGCTGG